GTTCCATTGTCAAGTAATTCGATTTCCTATATTAGCTAATCTGCATTTGTGAACGCTTGCTCAAACAGCCATGTTTTTATTTGCCTACGAAACGTTAAGCGTGAGGGAGCTGATCTGATCTCCCTAGGCTGGGTGTTCAATAGCCGAGGGGCCACCACTGAGAAGGCCCTGTCTCTCATCCCTGCCAAACGTACTTGTGACGAAGGTGGGATGATCTTAAAGTTCTCGATGGTTCATAAGGGAAGATACGTTCAGACAGGTAAATTGGGCCAGAACCATTTAGGGCTTTATAAGCCAAAGCCAGCACTTTGAATTGGGCCTGGTAGCAAACTGGCAGCCAGTGGAGTTGGCACAACAAGGGGGTTGTATGCTCCCTGAGCAATGCTTCTGTTAGCAACCTGGCTGCTGTTCATTTATTTATTTATTTACAGTATTTATATTCCGCCCTTCTCACCCCGCAGGGGACTCAGGGCGGATTACAATGTACATATATATAGCAAACATTAAATGCCATAGAAACACAACATATATAGACAGACACAGAGGCTATTTAACATTCTAGCTTTTTCATGAGGGTATTCTGGCCACCAGGGGAGCTGTTGCTTCACCGTCCATTTGTGACACTGATGAAGTACTTCCTTGTTCTTTGCAGGCTTTGCTGGAGATTTTTATGGCATTGTAAATTAGTTAAATTAGCCTTCCCGTGTAGGCAGTATCTAAATTTCCTACTTGACAGATGCAACTGTCTTTCGGGCTGCAAAGGTTGTCAGCAAGCTACACAAATTGATCGGACACTCTGACCCGGGCTGGCTTTGAACTCATGACCTTTTGGTCAGTAGTGATCTTAATGCAGCTGACTCCCAGCCAGCTGCGCCACAGTCCCGGTGCATATTTATTTTGGGTGCAGGCTTCCAAGAGGCTAAAATGTGTGATCCAAGCACTCAAGGGCTCTCAGTTGAGGATTGCTGCCTCTGACGAGTTAATAACAGAAGTCAAATTTATCATTGCTGACTGGACATCTAGGTGTTAATACCTTGATAGTAGCTTATATCTAGAACCAAACAAACAACAAGGAAAAAAATGGATGAGGAGCAGATTTATACTAGTGTGACCTTTGGGTTGTATGTTCCAGCTAATTACCTTTGGATTGTATGCTCCTTGAAGATACCATGAGTGACCTTTGAGTTGATTGTCCCATGAAGATGTCATGGGTGAAGCCTACATTTTATTGTCATTCCTGACTAGAATAGCCCCATTAATGACGGGGTTCACCTATGATACATTACACTAGGCAATCCCTCATAGCCTGAGGATGATGGTCCTCCAAGTGTAGTGTCTTGATGGTGGGTCCATAGGTGGTTGTGGAGCCCTATTCTTGATCCGGACATTCTCCTGCAGTGAGGACATCGGTTTCCAGGTGGAAGGCGGTCCTGTTCAGGGTTGACTTGATGTACCTTCCTCTTGGCACGTTTCTACCTTTCACTGTTCATTCTTTGAATTCTGCAGCACTGTTGGTCACAGCTGACCTCCAGTTAGAGCACTCAAAGGCCAATGCTCCCCAGTTCTCGGTGTCTATGCCACAGTTTTTAAGGTTGGCCTTAAGCCCATCTTTAAATCTCTTTTCCTGTCCACCAATGTTACATTTCCTGTTCTTGAGTTGGGAGTATAGTATGCTTTGGTGATTGGGCATTTGGACAATGTGGTCAGTCCACATTGATGGCGTGGGAGCATTGCTTAAATGCTGGTTGACTTTGCTTCTTCCACCACACTGACATTTGTATGCCTGTCTTCCCAAGAAATTTGCAGTTCACTGACCATCTAACCATTGATTCATTAGTTTTACCCAAGTTGACATTCACCAACAGAATTCCAGTTGAACAAATGCATAGATGTGCACACAAGGGTAAGCTAGAGTGGCCTTCTCCAGTCTGGTGTGCTTCAGACATTGTGGACCGCAACTCCCATCAAACCCAGATAGCGTTGATTGTGGTCAGGGATGACTGGAGTCATAGTCCAAAATACCTCACTAATACCAGGAGTGGGGAAGCTGCTCCAAAGCAATGGTCTTCAATTGATGGGTCAGCGCCTGGAAGTGTCCTTAGGTAGACTGATGTCAGTGGTACCACTGTCATTGTTTTGTTGCTTGCAGACAATTTTGTTATAGAAAGAATATGGGCTAAATCCAGTTGTTCATCTATTTAATCAATTAGATTTTTACAAAGTCATTTTTATGTCAGTCCTATTGAATCAATGAGTTTACTCTAATTGGGGCTGAATGGTCTTTGTTCAGGGACTCATCCAGGTCTTCTTACTGGGGAACAGTCCAGTGGAAGAAAATGTTATTTCTTTACACTTGTTTATTTTTTCAAGGAATTCTTTTTAAAAATCTATAAGAAAATTGAATTTTTGGGAAAATTCTGGTTTGTGTAGTTTCAATGAAAAGATTTTATGGATTTCTTAATGTATGGTTTGAAAGAATTCTGTACAAGACAGTTTAAAGAATAATCATTATTATTATTATGATTATTATTATTAATTATTATTATTAATTATTATTATTAACATTATTATATGCCCCGGTGGCGCAGTGGGTTAAAGCACTGAGCTGCTGAACTTATTGACTGAAAGGTCACAGGTTCGAATCCAGGGAGTGGCATGAGCTCCCACTGTCAGCCCCAGTTTCTGCCAACCTAGCAGTTCGAAAACATGCAAATGTGAGTAGATCAATAGGTACAGCTCCAGCAGGAAGGTAACGGTGCTCCATGCAGTCATGCTGGCCACATGACCTTGGAGGTGCCTACGGATAACGCCAGCTCTTCGGCTTAGAAATTGAGATGAGCACCCCACCCCAGACACGACAGGATTTAATGTCAGGGAAAAACCTTTACATTTTACCTATATGCCTGCAAATATATTCAATCCCCCTTCCCAATGCATTTTCAAGCCTAGAATATGCGAACAGAGGAGTTTATAGGGATTGCAATTTGGAGTATGTGAATAGCTGTTTGGTGTCTTGTAGTAATCATGGGTCGAATTTGGAAATATTAGTACCTGCTACCCTGCCATTGCTATCCGCTTGCTTGCTGGGGACAATGGATATTTGTATCACAAAGGATGACTACACCTCTATTTATGAATAATATATTTGTCTGTGGTACTTTTACATTTTCTTGTCCTCAGTGAGAATGCTTGCCATGGCATATCTAAAAATTTCGTTGAGAAAACTGTCAACTGCTATGAGATTTCTCACCCAAAGCTGGGGACTCACCTGTGAAAAGATAATTTGTGCCCCAAACTTGCAGAAAAGAGTGCGTCTTTTGCGGTATTGGTCTTTCGCACAAAATTTTATTTTTGGAACCAATTAATCTTTTGCCATAAAAAAGAGTCTCAATGTGCACAATCCATTAACATTCTTGTAATCTTGCCCAGTGGACAAAAAAGATGGTTAAACCATGCCTGCATGAAAGAAAGAAAGGAAATAACCAATATTTTGCTTCCTAAGGTACTTGTCCCGAGATGTATATCTTATCTAAGGGCCCTTCCAGACAGGCCCTATATCCCAGGATC